CTTCCTCATCGTTGTTTTAAACATTATCAGTCACATGAAAAATATTTTGAATTTGTTTTTATCTGATACTGGGATTTTAAACCAGGAGATGTGGTTCAAGAGTTTTTCAAGTTTTAATTTTTCTTAATGAAGAGTCATTGTGGTGAAATGTAAAATGTGTATGCAAGTATGATCTGAATTTCCAAATTATAAACAAGAAAAAGGGAAAGGATAAGAGAGAGAGAGCAGGAGAAGGAGACAAAGAGGGAGAGGGAGAAAGGGAAAAGAGAGACAGAGAGAAAATATTCCAAAACCTACATTTTTCATTTATTCTTCAGGGTGTTCTTACTGATAAATGTGAGAAAGCAGAAATGCTTCTGCTTGGCATTCCAGAGTGCTGCCTCACTTGCTTTGAAGTGTGTTTTCCTTCTCCTTTGGAGACGAGGCATCTGGTGGTATCTCCAAATCTTTTGACAGTAATTGCAAAGTCACACTGAGTCACACTGCTCTCTGTACCTGTGATTCCACTTTAGAATGTTTGGCTAAAATCAGATAAGCTTAAAAAATCTTGGAACAGCCATTCATAATTTCTTTTGGGAAAATGGCAAATACTGCCAGTTTTCTAAATTTAGCTATGAACTGACTTGATTTAGCATTCTCAAAGTGCACTGACCTATTTTGAGCACTTCTTCATTCTTTTCTTTACTCAACAATTTTGTATGTGTGTGCCTGTTGTGGGCAAAGTGCTGTGCTATGTAGTAGAGACCTAACCATGAGCATAAGAGACTCCATCATGGGTCTACCATCTACAGTCTAGTCAAGTAGTAAACCTAAGATAGTGCACTAATAACATGACAAGCATGAGGGAAAAATAAAAACTGAACATTTATTCATAAGACTTAGCTTAAAATAAAAATCTATATATTCTCACAGGTATGGCTCATTGAATTTGAGTACATGTTTTTATATATCATGGATAGAAATATCCTGGTCTTGATGCTTAATGACCTCAGGCAAATTTCTTAAGGTTGCCTAGTCTAAGATTCCTCACCAATAAAATTAGAAAATCAGTATTTGTCCTATCTCCCTCAAACCTGAAAGGCACGTGAGAAGAACATTTCAAGTGTGTAAAATCTGTAATTGTATTAAGATTACTTCCTATACACCCTCTTTGTAGTCCTTTACTGACATCCTAAAAATTTCACCAGATTTAATCGGGGCTTTGAAACCTGGCTCGGACACTCCACCTCAAATGTACCCTTCAACCTGAATTCCAATGCTCAGCAACAAAGGCTCGCAAATAACTTCTCCTGTGGCTTTCATCCCCCCTCCATTTCCCTACTCCCAGTTCCACACCTTGCTCTTTGTCTTCACCTAAAGTTTTATCATCCTTAGAAATTGTGAACTCCAGTGTCCCACCTTTGAACATAACCTCCTGACCTTCTAGCAATATCACAACCTCACTCTCATTTTGCTTATTTTATAACATGACTTGGATCTCTGCCCCATGGTCCTTCCATTTAGCCATCTATTACCCTGTCTNGAATTCCAATGCTCAGCAACAAAGGCTCGCAAATAACTTCTCCTGTGGCTTTCATCCCCCCCTCCATTTCCCTACTCCCAGTTCCACACCTTGCTCTTTGTCTTCACCTAAAGTTTTATCATCCTTAGAAATTGTGAACTCCAGTGTCTCACCTTTGGACATAACCTCCTGACCTTCTAGCAATATCACAACCTCACTCTCATTTTGCTTATTCTATAACATGACTTGGATCTCTGCCCCATGGTCCTTCCATTTAGCCATCTATTACCCTGTCTTGACCCTTCAGATAGGAGGAGGATCATGGAAGTGACCAGGTTGGTCATTTAATTCCTTCAGCTTATCTAGGAATGTTCTCTTCACTTCCAGGTAGGTGAAGTACTGTGGGCAGAACCTACAAATTTGATGCCCACCACATCCAGAATTGCCTTTCACACAGCTGTGCTTATGGTGATTTTAGGAACCTGGTATTTATTCTTCAACACATACAGGGCAGTATAGCATAATGCAATTCTCTTTTGATGTAGGATCAGGGATCAGACATACCTCATCACCAAAGGAGCCACAGGGCCAACCTTTTTTCTTACAAGGTCGTGGTTCTCTCTCAGCACAAGCAGACTTCAATTCTCTCTGACAAACCCCCTCATCGTTTTTGAATATCAGCTGTGACTTCTTTGTCTGATTTCATGTTCTTTAGATGTAGAACCACCTGTCATAGACTGGTGCAGATCTCCACCTCCAATCCAGGTCTCAGAGAAGGAGCATACTGCAAGCTGGGATGAGCCTCAGTTCTCAGACAACTCTGGTGAGAATGCAAGGATTTTGTTGTCAACATGGTAACACTAAATTACATTTTATTTTTAAAAGCTTTTTAAAAGGATAAGAGAAATAAAAAGCAAGTAAAAGCTGCCTAAGTGAATGAATAATTATACAAGGTAATACATCTTATTCTAGGATAATTAAATATAATTTAACATCATTAATCTTACCTATCCATGAGGTTTCCCTTCATTCAATATTTAATGAACATTTATTTAATCTGTGCTAGTTGTTGTACCTGATGGTGTTCTAATGAGTTTGTTGAGTTTTCCAACTTACCTTGTCCTGGAAGCATAAACTAAGCATTCTATTGGTATCACTAGTGCATTTCTACNAATAGAAAATGAAATGTCAATCAAATAAGAGGCTAATAAAGTGACTGCAGACCAAGAACCCAAAACTCAGATGCCTTCTTTGCTTTCTAGGGGCCGTGCTGGTCATCACCAGAAGTCATACACAAGGAGACGTCTTCCCTCAGGGGGAGACCATCGTGCGGTACACAGCCACTGACCCCTCAGGCAATAACAGAACGTGTGACATCCACATTGTCATCAAAGGTATTCTCTTCATAAACCCCAGAAATCTAGTTGACGTTTGATACATGTTATTCCGATAGTACTTGCCATATAATGTTATCCAGTTTTCATTTTTATGAAAGGAATGCCCAAAATAATAACCCAAAATCAGAGATACTTTTAGCTTTTTATGAAATACACACAACTTCGAATTACACATACGTACAGCTCTTCAGCATATGCCCATCTAGGAACTAAAAAGTAGACGCTGCCCCTCACACTAAGGACTTATGTTGAAAGTTTTTCTAGGAATAGTGGTAGATGAGAGTCCTTTTCAAAATTCAGCTTAAACTCGTGGAATTTATACTTCCCCTGCCACTGTATATGAATAATACCACTTTTTACACAGGTTCTCCTTGTGAAGTTCCATTCACACCTGTAAATGGGGATTTTATATGTGTTCAAGATAGTACTGGGGTTAACTGCACATTAAGTTGCTTGGAGGGCTATGATTTCACAGAAGGGTCTACTGAGAAGTACTATTGTGCTTATGAAGATGGTATCTGGAAGCCACCATATTCCACTGAATGGCCAGACTGTGCTGGTAAGTTTTAATTTTATCCCAGACCCCTTTAATGTGTGTGAATGTGTGTCTGTGGATGTGTACCTTTTTAGTGTTTAAGAGGAAAATTGCCTTACAATAAGTAGTAGAAAATAGCGCCATGAATTTGAAATGTTTGTGAATAAGAGAATTGCTCTTTCCTGGATTTAAAATATTAGCCACCAGAGTCTTGTTACAGATTGGATTGCCATAGGACAAGTTTCAGTTAAAGGCAAGACCATCTTGACCTTCTTGTTATTTACCAAGAATATCTGAAGA